TAATATAATTCCTTGTTCCTGGTGCCTAAATAGTTTTTGCTGATACTCATGTGCTTGTTAAGTTATAGGCATTAAAAATGTCATTAACACCTTTTTGCTACTCATTCTGGCTGCCCTCAAATTCAGGGCAGTGTGACTTCCCTTGAGACATCCTACTCTTCTAATGGCTTTGTCTTAACTTTTCACTCTTTTTAATTTTCACAAGGAACCTCTACAGAAACGACCCACCTTTTAGAGAGGCCTTGGGAAGCAGGGTCTGGGCATCCAGGTTTAGGTGCTGTATGAAATGTGTGCATCATCAGGGCTCTGCCCAGTCAGACTCAATACAGGATGTGAGTCTGGACCTTCCCCCAGGAAGCTGGGCAGCAAATGGGCTCTGTGTGGAGGGTCCTTTGGGGTTGCATGCTGGAGATATGGCACAACCTTGTCTGGATGTAAGAAGAGCTACACCTAGTGGGAGAATTCCCAAGTCACAGCTACTCAGAAGAACTCTGGGAAGTTGATTACCTGAATAAATAGCTCCCAGAAAGCCAAGGCCAACCTTTCAGTTCTTCAAGATCAAAACATTAAGGAGAGAGATAATATATTTGGTAGAATAATCTGTGTATAAACTCTCTTCGATAATATATTTGGTAAAATAATCTGTGTATAAACTCTCTTCCTGTAAGAAAAATAACATGTAAATGTGACTCATGTCACTGAAAGGGAGAAATGAAGGAGCTGGTCTGAAATTGGTTCACTAACAGTCCTAATGCAAAAATTTTATGCTAGCGGCATTCAGAGTTCAGCAGTGACTTCCTGCGAAGATGGCTATTTTACTCTTTCCCTGGGATGTCTGTGGTCTTGAGTCTCCCCTTTCAAGGGGACATGAATTGAAGCTAAGTCTACTCCTTTAATCATGAAGAAAGTGATGCTTTGAGAAAGTTAATCTGCTGTTGATATCAGGACCAGAAGAGGAAGGGAAAAGCCTGGAAGCTTGTAGACTAAGGAAACCCCTTCCACAGTAATTCTGGAGCAAGGTACTAAGCACCTACACTTTGATCTCGTTCCTCCAACCCAATCTTCCCTTGAATTTCTCAGATGACTAACTTACTTCGTAACCTTTTGAAATATACTTAAAAATTAATTATCAGGAAAAGATGCTGTGACAGGAAGCATCCTAATGATTTGATGCGGAAGTGGATGTGAGAGTACCTATAATATCCCTGATATTAAATGCAAGGGATGTGATATGGGAGCAGGTCCCAGAGCACATCACCAAAGTCAGAAAGCCCTCATAGGGAAGCCTACTTTCAGCATCAAAAGCTCCAGTCCTGAAGCAATCCTTAGACTATTATGAATTTGAGAAAATGTCCCATAATAAGGCAGTCTTCACTATACATAAGAGAACTCAGGTGTGGGGTAGGCCACATGAAGGGAATGTAGAGAACCTCATTCAAAACCTAAAGCTTTAATGTACATCAGAACTAATATTAAAAGGAAGCTCCATGACTGCAAAAATGTGAGAACTGTTTCTGCAGGAAGTCCAAATCCAAGCATTAGAGAACTCAGGAAGGAGAGGAAAGGTTCATGAAATTTACAAAATATCTCCAGCCTCAAGTCAACCCTCTCTCAAACATCAGAAAAAAAGAAAAGGCAGGGGAGGAAACTAACAGCCGCACACTTGGAAGATCCTTTTGCCACAGACCAGTCCTCATTTTACATCAGAGCACTCACACTCAAGAGAAACCTTTAGAATGTAATGAAGGTGGGAAAACCTTCTGCCAGAATTTACCCTTCAATGTACATCAAATTACCCATAGAGAAACCATATGAACGTAACACATGCATATAAGTCATACCTTACTAAATGTGAGCTAATACATATGGGGGGAAAACTCAGGATACTGAATGTGGAAGGTTTTTTCAGAAGTCAACCTTTACACCAGAGAACTCACTACACCTGTAAATAACATGGGTAACCTTTCTTCCAGAATAACACCTGTCTGTACATCAAAGAACTGATTAAGGAAAGAAAACCTTCCGTGTGACGTCAAATCCCTAATTCAGAACAAAAGAACACACATAAGGGAGAAAATCTCTGGGAATAATGAATGTGAGAGTGCTTTTGGCAAACTACACGTATTTATGTAGAAACACTACATAAGCAAGAGCAGCGTAAGACATGCATCCAGACAGAATCACTCACTGACTCTCAGGGGACTCCTAAAGGAGAGAAACCCTAACAATGCAAAAAATGCGGGAAATCCTTCTGCCAGAAGACAGAAATCTTTATAGAATGGAATGTTCACACAGAAACCCAGAGAAAATATGTAAGGAAGGCTTCACCAAGAAGTTACAACCTAAATTGAACAGCAAAGAAACAACATTTGAATACTCTGAAAGCGTGAAAATTTTTAACATGAAATTTAAAGCCTGGGGAAATTCTATCAAGTTAGGGAGTATGTCAAAAACAACTTCTCCTAGCAATAATATTGTTCGAAGAGTCATGTTTAATATGTGATACCAAACCTGTATCCAAAAAATAATCTAGTAAACTCTTCTGTAAATCCAAAATTTATAAATAAAAAGATTTTTAAAAAGAAAAAAGTCAAGCCAGTCTAAAGGACACAGGAGCCAGCTCAAGGAGGCACTCAATAGCCAAATCTGTGGTAAGTGGAGCACTAAAGTAATTAAGTATAGTAATGAATTATAAATCATTAAAAACATACAAATTTATGAGTCCATACTGATAAAAGAGAAATAGATTGATCAATCAAGAAGACGGGAAGTCTCTCGCTTATAGTAAAAATGCCAAGGGCTAACTGAAAGAAGCACTGGGATTATAAAATCATTACTTTGTAATCATATGGCAAAAACTGGATCAGACAAGAATCATAAATGGATACCAAATCCAGGCGGAAATTTTGATGAGAAGCAGAATATCTGCAACGTCGAACGTGTCTCTCCACGGGCTGATTAGTTGCAAGGGAAGAAAATATAAAGAGAAATAATACAATGGAGAAATCCGACAACGTCTTGACCGGTGATAAAATTAGTATCTACAGGAGACAGACAGACATCGTGTGCCTCCAGATGTGGCGCCCTGAGAGGGACATATCATCCAGATAGGATTCTGGCTGAGGGTGCTTAACCTCAACCTACTTACAGAGAAACAACACAAGATGAGGGCTGTTCCTAAAAATAGGAAACCATGAGGGGTGGGCTATTTCCTCAAAAATATCAATGTTGTAAAAAGGCAAAAAAAAAAAGGGCTTCCCTGGTGGCGCAGTGGTTGAGAATCTGCCTGCTAATGCAGGGGACACGAGTTCAAGCCCTGGTCTGGGACGATCCCACATGCCGCGGAGCAACTAGGCCCATGAGCCACAACTACTGAGCCTGCGCATCTGGAGCCTGTGCTCCGCAACAAGAGAGGCCGCGATAGTGAGAGGCCCGCGCACCGCGATGAAGAATGGCCCCCACTTGCCACAACTAGAGAAAGCCCTCGCATAGAAATGAAGACCCAACACAGCAAAAATAAATAAATAAATAAACTCCTACCCCCAACGTCTTCTTTAAAAAAAAAAAAAAGTCTCTAGAAATATCCCAGATTAAAGGAGGCTAAAGAGACATGATACCAAGGACTAATTCCTGTATTAAATGAGGAAAGATGCTAATAAGGACATAATTAGATCAAGTGACAACATTGCAATATAGATGGTAAAGCAGATAAAGACAAGTATCAATATAAACTTATAATGGGTGTGCTGTGGTTATGGACAGCTCAGCGAGAGGATGGAGAACAGGCAGAAAGTGCAGAAGAGACGGTAGATGGGGTAAAATATGAACAGTAAGTGAATCTGGCTAAAGGGTATACAGCTATTCTCTGTACTATTTTTATTTTGCAACTTTCCGTAAGCCTTAAATTACATCCCCCCAAAAAGGAATTTTTGAAAAGCCAATTCAGCATGCTCTGGACCCTATCTCCTCCAACAATAGGTAGTTATCTCTCTGTCTCATTTGCCTTTCCCCTCCTCACTAGATCATTCTGCTAAGCTTAGAAACATCTTCTTCATGTTCCAAAAAAAGGCAAACAAAAGCAAAGCAAACAGCTCTTGGTCCACAGCTACTGGACCCACTGAAAGACTTATCTACTCACATTGTCACTTTGCCACTTTCCCTTTATCTTCAAACCACTGCAGCCTGGCCTCTGCCCCCATGACGTGGTGACATTGCTCTTCCTAAAATCACCCGACACCCCCGGGTTGCCAGCTCCACGGATCCTCTTCAGTTCTTTTGCTACTTAACCTTTCAACAGCATTGGACACTGTTGACCATACCTCTTCCCTGGAATAGTCACTTCTCTTGGCTTTTGATCAAATACTCTTGATCTTCCTCTGGCCCCTCTGCTCCTCCTAAGTCTCCTTTGCCACCTCTTCATCCCCTACCTGACTTTTAATGGTTATAGTTCCTACGGGTCTCAGTCTACACTCTCCCTCAAGGCGTCTCATCCACTCCCATGGCTTCAAAACCATCCAAACGCTGATGATTCTCAAACTTATTTCTGTGGCCCAGATCTTTCCTCTGAATTCCATACTCATACAGCTCAATTGCCTTCACATCATCGACCAAAACCTCTCAAACTCAACATATTCAAAACTGAACTCTTGCACTCCCCAAACCCTAAATCTTCTCCCCCAGTCTTCCCATTTCAGGAAGTGCCACTTCCACTCACTCAGCTGCTCAAGTCAGAAAACCTAGATCATCTGCGGGATGTTGAAATTATCAGCAACATTTTTTCTTTATGCTTTTCAGTGGTTTAAAATTTTCCTACAATAAACATACGCTTGTGAATACATTAATTAACTAAAATTAAAAGAACCAAACCTCGTTCTTTTTGGGTAATCAGAAACAAAACAAAGATTTGCTTAAACATAATGCTTTATAGCCTCTATATTTGTTCTTAGTTGTAGTTTCATGAATGTCTAAATAAGAGTACTAAAAATGAACTTTCACATTACCGGAAGTGTTTGGATCTACTGAGGACATCACAGAATCAGCTTCTATCTAGAAAAGAAAAAAGCATAGGGTATACAATTTCATCAAATGTTTTCACAGTACAAGTTCTTAATTCCTGGGGTGCGGGGAAGGAATGTATTTTATGAGAAACCAACTTTGTTGAATCCAGCAGACAAGTAACATCACAGGACAGCTATGATAGTCATTTTTCTCTTCTATTAATAAGATACCAGATGCTGATCTACTACAGACTCTGATGGCCCCCAAAACTTTATTGCATTGACCAAAACAGTTTATCATATAAAATCAACTTGACTGTCACATATACAGAATAACCTGGTAACATTTCTGTTTTAGACAAATACAAGCAATTGCTACAATGGGCTCTATGGGTTTAAATTTTTTTTCCTGACTGTAATAGTAACATGATGTAGAAAACATGAAAAATATTTTTTTAATTATGAAGAAAAACATCTAAATAACCAGCCATCCAGTGAAAACCACTGTTAACATTTAGGACTAGTACAGCTTTTTTTTCCCCCCTCCATGCATTTTTAAACATATTTGAGAATACACTATATATTAAGTTCGGGGACCTGCCTTCACTAAATATTAAAACGTAAGTGTTTTTCCACATTGTTAAGAGAGCTTTATAAACATCATGGAATTAGAACCTTGGCAACATCTGATGTAGCTTCTCCACCTTGGATTCCATGCCCTGCACTTCCCTGGTTCCTCCTGCCCCTCCCAGACAACCAGTTCCCAGTGCATCTTCTTCATGGAGTCCCCACTGACCCTTAAATGTGGGTACGCCCCCCATGTCTCCCCTCAGGACACTGCCCTTCACACTCCACATACTCCTTTTGGGCAATGCCACCTCAGTCTCATGCTTTGAGCTACCACCTGTGAGGAATCCCAAATCTATCTCTAGCCCTCACCTCTCCACCCAACTTCAGATTCCTACATCTGAGGGAGGTGGCACAATCTGAGAGCAGATCTTTACCGTCACCTCAACACCCAGCACAGCACTTAAAAAAGGAATGCACTTGGGGTGCTTCTAGCCTCCTCGAACTTAATATGCCCCAATCCGAACTCACTGCCTTTCCCCCAAACTTACTCCTTCTGAATTTTCTTATTTTCTTATCCCTTTAGTCCTGTTGTCACATCACTCTGATACGGCCACCACATGCAACCATGAATCACCAAGGCATAACTTCTCCCACCACCACAAAGCGCTCCCAGACACTTCATATCAGAGTCTACCTCTGCTGCTCTAAATGATGCCCAGATTCCTATTAAAGTTACCACAGAATTAGACCCTTCTCCTTGCCCTCCTCTCTTTCTGTTCTTAATCTCTTCTCTATCTTAGTATTTATCAGAGTTTTATAAGTCTCTCTACACTAAACTGTGAACTATTTCAAAGTAGGGTCTATGTTTATTCACCTTTATATTTCTAGCAACTAGCAAGTGCTCCTTTTATTAAATGGGAACACAATAAATTTCATTCTGTAAACATTTTCATGAATGCAGAAGTGATTTATTATTTTAGTGCCTTACTGCTTCATGACCTGCATTCAGTAAATATTTCGTTTGCTGAAAAGCAATGTTTAAAAATAAAACCCCAAGTTGAATGAGGTAAAATGGCACCTGTGGGCTCTACGTTTTTTAAGGATATACAGTTGTTTCAATGTCACTTTTATACATACTTCTATGTATGTAAACATATCTTCACAGTTTACACATTCATTTGTATCTGCTGGGCTGGATTAAGCTTTGTTGTGATTGTGACCAATATTCAGGCCACGTGAGCACATCTTATCACATCACCAATTAGTTGTAATAAATGTTCAATGTAAAACAACCCCAAACCTCAACCTATTATAAGAGGAAAAATCTGTTAAATTTCACAGAGGGAATACATTAAGTGTCACTTAATAAAACTTCATGATTGTTACAAATGATTGTTAAGTGTATAGGTGATTTGCTATATCAGTATTTCACTGTTTAGCGATCTGCAGTAAACAAGCATTTCCTTTGATTAAAAAATAAAATCCAAAACCTCAACCAAAAGTAAAAATCTGTTAAATTTGATGGTGTGTATGTATATATGTTACCATATCTCTGTACTTGTCATTAAATTCCTCACTTACATGTTCTAAAATTAAAATCAAGTAAGTAGATACAAAGGTGATAAAGGTAGAGTGAGACCAGATATCTTTCCAGCTGAACCTGGGTTAAATTCAATGCTTCAAAAGCTGAGTCCACTTAGCTGACCTGCTCTGGAATTCCAGCTGAAATGACTGCAGGTTAACAGGAGAGCTGCAATTTCTGGGAGCCAGCCCTGAAGCTCCATAATCAACATCTCAGTAACTAAGCAAACCCTAGCAGTTGAACCTACCTGGGTGGTTCATGGGACATATTTATATCAACAGAACATATTAACAATGAAGTTGTAATACGTTTAAGCATAATGAAGAACAGAGAAGTGGGACATCACGTGGTCCCTGGCTTTACAGGGCCCGCGATCTGACAGACAGGTAGAGCCCACTCATAGGGAACAATTGGGCCAAAGTAGTTGCCCAGCCACTTTGTCTAACAACAGCAGGAGGGATGACATTCCAGGCAGAGCCCTGAGTGCTCCCTCTGTTTGATGCCTGCAACTGAATTTCTTAAACCTGGCCAAGATCTTGCCCCTGATTAATTCCAGTTCAGCAGCTTAACAAGAGGGATCCATCACTAGAATGGATGTAACAGACAAGAGGAGCAGCACAAGGACAGGAGGCATAGGAAACCTGTCCTACTAAAATGGGAGATCCACTGAAGTTCAGCTCAACTCTCCTTAATTAGTGCAACCTTTCCTGGAGAGCAATGCCCAACAAAATTTCAAATGTACCTAGCACTTGTATCTCTAGGAATTTATTCCACAGAGATATATCCACAAGCAGAGATATAGTTATAAGAGAATGCTCACGGCAGCAATATTTGTAGGAATGAAAAATAGAAACAACTGAAATGACCAAAACAAGGGAACTAGCTAAAGAGAATACTAAGCAACTATTTTTTTAATGTGGTGTGTGTGCTTTTATGTTCTTCTATTGTGAAGTGAAAAAAGCAAGTTAAAATAAAATAGGCATACTATGCACCCACTTTTCAATACAATGCTAGGCATGTTTGTCAATACATAGGAAATTTTGGGATGATACACAATAAACTGTTAATAATGGTAACTCCTGAGGAGTGGGACCCTTTGGTACGGAGGGAGGGGATTTTACACCCAACTTTATACTTTTCTGGGCCATTTTAATTTTTTGGCTATGTAAATGCATTATTTTCATAATTTAAATGGAGCAAAATTTTTTTTTTAATTTAAGAAAAAAAAAAATCCTGCATGTCACTTCCTCTGTGAATTCCTTCTGTTACCAACATCCCACTCCCAGGCTTCCCTCTTGGAACCTCACTAGCATCTCATACTTAATATTATTAGCAGCCTGGTGACTTAGTCTTGATGGATTCTAATTCATTCCCGAGTTGGATTCTTAAGACAAAAGTAAAATTCAGCACTGGACACATCTCTGAAATTGCTCAAAAGGCAGCGGTTTGCTTCATAAACATCCTAAGCTAGCCCTCTGCACTTTATTTAGAAGCCATCCACTATTGTATTGTCAGCCCAGTCCCCAAATACAAAAGAAAGTTCTACCTTGGAGGGCTTGTATCCAAACAGCATTACAACAGCAACTTTAAAGTCCTCTCTGCTTAGATAGCCTTTGTTTTCTTCATCGCATGCTTTAAATACCTAAAGAACAGCAAATATCTTTAGTTAATAAGACAGAAACCGTTTGTTCTATTATTACTAACTTATATTAAGTTTAGACCTTCCAAACCTAAAACTTAGCCAAGAGTAGGGCTGGGAAATGGAATTTCATTATCCTAATTTTAATCCTCAAGAAATCTTAATCTGCTGGGACTTCCCTGGAGAACCAGTGGTTAAGACTCCTAGCTTCCACTTCAGGGGGCACGGGTTCTACCCCTGGTCGGGGAACTAAGATCCCGAATGCTGCCCCCAGGGCCAAAAAGAAAAAGAAATCTTAATGTGCTAAAATTTACTCCCCCTACTCCCCCCAAAAGTGCAAACGACTTAATCGCTGGGTTAATTCCTTTAAACCGTTCGAATAAATTCTACCGAAAATTCAATCCTAGAATTGGGAAGGTGAGGCAAAAGGCCTGGCTTTGAAAGGCGGGAGGAGAGATGGAGATTACAGCTTGTTATACACAGACTATGTCGCGGAGAAAAGAAGAAGTTGGAAGTAGAACACTGGACAGGGATCCAGAAGCCTTGCAGCCCTTGCCTCGGTCATTAACCATGACACTTCGGAAGGACAGTCCAGCCCCTATCTGTGCAACAAAGCTGAGCGAGAGCCAGGCGGGGTGACGGAAGTGAAAGTCCCGGGTCAAGTTTAAGTCCGAGACAGCCCTCCAGGCACTTACTTCCACCCACTTCTTGTGTTCCGACTGGCTGGCTTCCCACCTCCGCGGCCGGGCCCCGGCCTGGGAGAAAAACATCGCGACAGCCACACGAGAGTCGGGACGCCTGAACTCGCGACCTCTGCGGCCTACTCCCGGCTTGCAGCGACAGCCCGCCAAGCTTCCCGCAGTTCGGGAAGCTGAACTTGGCCGGGTACCTCCAACGTCTTCTCCCATTGGACGGCCTGTGAGCCACTGGCGTTGACCCCGCAGCTCTATTGGCCAGAGACTTTGTTTAATAACGTTTCCTTGGAACAGCCTATGGCGGAGGGGCTTCCAGGCACGCCCCCAGCCTTGGCTCCGCCCCTCTCGTCCCTTTAACTCCTGGCGCGCGGCTGTGGATCCCGCACACCCAGGTGCTGTTTCAACGTGTCCTGCATGATTCTTCTCATTTTCTGCCCCCACACCTTGTAATAAATTATTTTTGATAATTTTGATCAATGGCACTATGCTAAACATTATAGGAGACACAAAAAGAGTGTGAACAAAGCATAAAAGGAACCAATCAAAACAAGACCGGGGCTCCCGTGCAGATCAGCAAGTCATGGGAATCGAGCCCTCCAGGGTAGCTACTGTGTCTGTTCCGTCCTCCCTATAAGCCTAGCACTGAGCACGGTACCTGGCACAAAACAGACTTTCAATAAACGAACCAAGTGAGCCCTTAGGACGTTTACCCCAAGTTATTTCATTCAGTCCTCTAGGAGAGGTGCCTGGTGTGAAGGAAACTCTGAGAATAATATCAACAGCACTGTGGAACCCAAATTCCACAGCAAACATCCTTATTAAAGGCAAGGAATATGGCGAGGGTTCCGCTTTGCAAAGGAGTTTATCTCAGACCTCTCCTGACAAATCAGTAAGATTAAAAAGGCAACACACAGGCACACGCGCCTGTTTCAACGAAGAAACGGGCATTCGAGGTTGAGTCTAAGGGAGCTCGTTTAACCTTTTATTTTACAGCAGGTTTTACAGTCCGCTCCCCCAGGAGAACCCACTCCTCCCGGGACACCGGTCTCAGCCCTCAGCTTTCTCGAACCTCTCAGGTTATCTTGTCTCTGCCTTTAAAATATCCACCCCCTCCCACCCCCCCGCCACACACACACCTCGAGCTCCGGGAGTCTGAAGCTATGAGAACCTCTGCAAAGCGGATGAGTTTTGCTAATTAACTACAGGAGAAGTGAGGGAAATTTCTTTTCCTCTCTTCCCCTTTTAGGAGACGCGCCCAGGAGGTGAGAGGGGAGCTGGAGGCGGCCAGGTCTTCTCTCCGCCCCTTGCTGCGGGAGCGCCCCCTCAGCCCCTCATGACCCGGAGGGCTTTAGGACCCAGCTGCCGGCGTCCCGGAAGGGGAAGGGGCAGGGCCACTCTGCGCGCGCTGCCGGCTGGACGGTTTGAAGCGCGCGCAGGCGCGAGTGGCGGCGGAGCGGCGGGATCCTAGGTGGCTACGCGTTCTGGGGGCTTCAGGTGAGTGGAGGCCGCGGGTTCCGGGGCCTCCGGTGCGCGTTCGGCAGCTGCCCGCGCTTTTGCTCCTTCCGGCCTGGAGCGCTGGAAGCCGGCGTCCGGCCATTTCTTGAGTGTCCCGCGGGGCTGGAGGTGGATCCGGAGGGAAGCGGAGCATCTTGTAAAGACACTAGGTAGGGCCCCCTTCTGGGCCTCGGCTTTCTCCAGTAATAGTACCTCTTTGGCGCGAGCAGCTGCTGCTTGAGGAGACCAGAGTCCTGCTGGAGGGGTACCCCTCCGCGGATTCTTATTCTGGCTCCTCCACGTAGTAGGCAGATGGTCTGGAGAGTTAGTGATAACTAGCATGTTGGGCGCTTACTCTGTGCCAGGCACTTAACCTCTGTGTTTAGTCTCCCCATAAATGGAAACAGTTGTGAGCGTGAAATGAGTGTATGCCCAGTAAAGGTGAGCGCACAGAAAACAGTGTACCCCGGAATCAGCCCACTTCACTCCATCCCGACCGCCTTCATGAGCTACCAGAGTCCTTGCAGGAGCCGCCTCACTTCGACTTTTGTCTCCCTCCAAACCATTCTCCATACAGAGTTGTAGGGAACGTAATATTTTAAAAAAGTAGATCGGACCAAGGTACTCCCCTTCTTATTAAAAGGTACTCCCCTTCAGTGGGGCCTACTGTTCTTAGAATAAAATCCAGGATCTTTAACTTACTCCTGCCCAACCCCTTCATCCTGGACCACCTACCTGTCTTCCTTACCCAAGTCTTTCTGTGTGTTTTTGGAGTTACTACACCCTTGTTCTGGTCGTTGCAGGTTGGGTTCCCTCACTTGGAATACTCTTCTTTCCCTCCCACACTTTTATTTGGCTGATTCCTTTTCACCCTTCAGAGCTCACTTAGATGTTAAATTCAGGATAGTCGAAGGTAAGGGCATCCCTGTTACTCTCTCATACCTGTAAAGCATAATGTATATCTGTAAAGATATCTTGGCTTTTTTGGTTATTTTTGTTTGTGTCAGTCTGTTCCTTTCTCCTTGAAATAGAAGCTTTTCTAGGACAAATTGTTTCTATGTTAATTTCTTATTCCTAGGGCTTGGCACATAGTAGCTGCTCAATAAATATTTTTCGAATGAACATACTCTGGGAGGTAGGTATGATACCCGTTTTACGGAGGAGGAAGTTGAGGCTCAGCAGTTAAGTAACTTGCCTAAGTGCACATTTACCACCTAGTAATGACTGGATTTGAAATTGGAGTCATATTTGCCCACTACTGGCCACACCTGGCCTCAGTTGAGATTGACTCCCATGCCCTCCTGATGGTCTGCAAGCTCTATAAGAAGGGTCAGCTGGAAGCGTAAAAGAAATAGCCCAGCTGGGTCTGGGATGGTAGGGGGAGAGGAGGAGCCAGCAGCTTTAAGAGGAGTATCCATTTGCATCCACAAATTTTTTTTTAGGATCTAATAGACACTCTAATGTTATGAGTTGGCATGTGGTGGTAGAATTTCTTTAGATTTTTACCCTCCTTGGCATTGTAGCTTAACGCAGTGTTTGCCAAATTTCAGTAATGTGATCGGTTGCTTCCTCCCCAGTTTTGTCTCTCTCAACATCTGTACTACTATTTGCGTAATATTTTCATTTGAACCCACTTTTACATAAACACTATCTTTTAGAAGTAGACTTCAGTTATTGTAAATGTAATAGAGCCATAAGATACCTTCTGTTGATGTTAAACCGAAGTGTTACTGCCTGCAGAAGAGCCCAAAATCTGTTATGTGTTCAAAAGCAGGAATAGAGACATTTCTACAAACAGCTTTCTCCTTGATTAAACTGAGACATTGGATTGGAATGGGAAAGGGAGGTACTTTCATAACGTAATGTTAGTTAATGTCAGGTCCCAGTCACCTCCGCTTTGGGAAATACTGCACTTTGCTGACCCACTGAATGTCAGCTCTCAGAGTCAGCCCACCTGTGTTGTAATTCTGATCCTGGTGTCACCACTTACCCAGAGTGTGGCGTTAGACCTGTGCTGTGCGAGACACTGCCCAGGGAAGACAAACCATGAGCAAACAATTGAAGGAAAACACTTAGGTTCTATCCTTGTAAAGCTCTATGACTTGAGTATGAAAGCTGTCTGAGAATGCAGAGAATATGGGCCTGTGTGAGAGAGAAATGAAATTCTGATCCTGAGACCAGATCCAGTCCTCCAAAGTAGAATCAGTTGCTGGTTAATCTTGGTGTTTACCAACAGCTCCTCTTCAACAGGCTAAGCGCCTTGACTGCATAGAGAGGCCGGTAACCTGCTAGGCTTAATGATTTGTTACAGTTTTATTAGCATATTACAAGGTTTTTTTGCCTTTAATTGGTAAATCTCAGGCACATTTTGGATTGTGAGTAGATCCAAAATTTAAACCATGTATAGAGCAGAGGAAAACTTTTTTTCTCTCTAGGAAATGTCTTTTTCAAAGCTTTATTTTTTACCCACTTGTCCTTTTTTGGAGGGAATTCTCTGTCCCCCTCCCCTCCCCCACCCACATGTGGTTCTAGAAAGTGTAGATAATGATAAAACTGAAAAATTTAGAAATCTCCTAAATAGCTCACACAGTCACTAAAGGCGAATAAATATTTTCCTTTTAGAGTTCTCAGGATTTTTGAATTCCATTTTATTTATACGTAATTGATCTGGGAAGAGGGGGTGGTGGTGATCTCTAAGGTCTGCATACAGCTCCTTTTCTCAGGCTGGGAGCTGAACCCTTTTTTCACCTAAAAACTCTGAGACCCTCTCTGCTTTAGGATGGGGCAGGAATCTAGGGAGAACAGGCTGAGGAATCTCAGTTGAAGATTCTATTACTCATTGCCTAGCTTTAGAGCTGGTTTAGAATTCAATGGAAGCTAGAGCTTACAGCACAGTAGTTTTTCCAGAGATGGTTCTTTTGTTCTTAAATCATTTTTCAATTACAAACTAACTGACAAAATGGCTCCTTCAAAGTGAATTGTGATAGCAGTCTCCAGAGTCTAGAACACTAAGGGAACTTAAGTTTTAAAAAAACAGTCAAAACAAACAAAAAACTGAGCTGTTTAAGTAGGTGTTAAGTAGTAAGTCTGTCTTAACCCCTTTCATGGGAAAACCTGGTTCTCAGATCCTGTTAACTGTAACAATACAGTTCCAACAAGCTTGATTATCTGGTGTCTTAACCCTTATCAGATTAGAAACAATTTAGGGGGAAAAACCTACTCAGAGTTCAAACAGCCCCTAGAAGTGGACTGAACACAGGGGGAAAGGACAGAGAACTTTTAGAAAAGAAGACCTAGACAGTCTAGGGCCCCTATTACAGGAGCAAGTGTCTGCATCCATCTGTGGTCCCTACAGTTGTGGCTGCAAAACACTGTCCATGCCAGGTGGGCTTAATAGTGACCCTGGGCCATGAAGAACGAGTCAAATTATTGTCTAGATGCACTCTGCTTAAAAGCTCCTTGAAATGTGTAATTTACAGGAGAAACCTTATCTGACTTGGTCATAAATTGAAAAAGGTGAGAAGTTGTGCAAAGTGATAGATACCTTAAAATATATATACTTTTTAGCTTGAAACATGAAAGCATATTCATTAGCAAGTCTTTCAGTGCAGAATTTAGCCTTTTTTAAGGAGTGGGGGTTATGCTGCAGTCTGTCCTATATCTGCACTCATAGCAGGTCCTGCTAACGCTGTAGAGCAAACATGTAGACACTGTCCACGATCTGAGCACAGACTCTTGAGTTGTGTAATTTTCCTCTGGGTCTTGTACTAAAGTGTATTTTTTTTTTTTTAAATCACACTAAGGAGCTCTTCTTTAGTTATTTGGGAAATCTACTTAGATAGCCCTTTACCCTTGAATTGGTGACATTTTGTAGGTAAGAAAAGCAAAAGTTTCATGTGTTTTCCTCTTTTGAGAGCAAGAAAGTAGAAGTTAAACTGTGTGGTTTAGAAAACAAGTAACGTTTTGCTTTAGTACAAGTTCTTTCTCTGCAGGTTTGACTTAGGATTAGATAATCATTGAGTCAGTTGGGTCCTCATGGAAGCATCCCTAGATAATGTATATATAGAATTGATCATTTGTTACTGCCTGGAGGATTTCGTTAAGCTCTATGGTAAGTAGCTTACCTTGGGGGAGTAAGAAGTAGTCCCTGAAGTCCTTTGGGCTCCCATACCTGGGTGAGGAATAGGTGATAAATTCCAATTTGACCTTAAAAATATGAGCATAGTCAGAGTTACTCCTGAAATTCCTTAAACTGACCTTAACCCCAAACACCTGTTGGAAGCTTCAGGGCTAAGAGTGCACATTTTTGTTTTGGACTTTGGCTCAACTCCATTTCCTCAGGCATTTAAGAACAAGGTCTAGGTGGAAAGACAAAGGGAGAGAAGCAGAAGGTGAGCAGGATTTTCGCCATCACTTTATTTGCCAAGTTCTCACGGCAGATTTTGGTGATGTGCCGTGAACACCTACAGAGCCGCTGATGTTAGTGACACGTCTTGGCATCTGGTAAGTGTCAGGTGTGCTGTATGTGTCCTAGAAGGTCAGGACACGGAATTTGAGAGCAAGAGCATGAGTGTGCCGGTGGCCTGGTGGATGGGAAATAACGAAATTTCCACCTTTCATTTCCAGAGGAAGTGTAATGTCTCAGGAAGGCAATTATGGGAGGTGGACGATATCCAGTAGTGATGAAAGTGAGGAGGAAAAGCCAAGACCGGACGAGCCATCTACCTCTTTTCTCCCGCACGCTGAGCAGGGAGCAGCCAGTGAGCCAAAGTACACCTGTTCCGAGGCTCGGAAAGCTGCCCACAGGAGGAAGATCGCACCCGTGAAATTCAGCAACACAGATTCCGTTTCAGAAGCTTCACCTCCCAAAAGGCAGAAGGGCGGTTCCCAGGAAGACCTGGGCTGGTGTCTCTCCAGCAGTGAGGATGAGCTGCCACCAGAGACGCAGCAAAAGCAGGCTAAGGACACGGGGGTCAAAGAGGAGAAAGGCCTCCCTTCTCCCAGAGATGGTGCTGTCCCGGGAGCTGGGCATCACAGCCCGTCGGCCGGCCACGGGCTTGAAACGTCAGGGGAAGGCCAGGACATCTGGGACATGCTGGGTAAAGGGAACCCCTTCCAATTTTACCTCGCTAGAGTCTCCGGAATTAAGCCAAAGTATAACTCGGGAGCCCTCCACATCAGGGGTGAGTGAAGCCGGGGGTCTGGGAGCTGCACTTGTGGGGCTTCCCCTCGAAAAACAGGAGGGACGCCTAGAAGGGATCTCTTAAGAACCCTCTGAACTTCTCTCAGGGGGAAAAAAACCCATTTTGACAAGCAGATGCATTCGTTTGACAGCAAACTGCTTAGGTCAGGAAGCGAGCAGGTGTCTCCCAGAGCCCCTGCAGGTCACCCTGCTGGCACCCCTTGCACAGTGCTTAGAATTACTTAACTTGTAATTTAAAGGTTAAACTCGGTCGCTGACACTTGATTAACCAAGTAGCCAGCCCTTGACAGCAATAGTTCTCTCTGGTCCCTGGACCAGCAGTGTCAGCACCACCCGGAGCTTGTTGAACATGCAAATTCTCGGCCTCCTCTTCAGATTCCCAGCACCAGACTCTGGGAGCCTGGCCCTGCAATCTCGTTTAACAAGCCCAATCAAGTTTGAGAACCATTGCTTGAAAGCCTGGTTTTGGTTCCTGGCGCAGAAGCAAGACAAGAAGTGCCCTGATTTTTGGCTGCTGTGGTTAGTCCCCAGGGAGTATCTGTGTGATATTGTGATGTATACAGATATTTGGTCTTCACTCCGGTTATAGTTGGGGTTTGGTTTTGGTTTTTGTCCCAGGTTCCTGAAATAGCTCCAAGGTGATGAAGGGTGAAAGGAGCATCTTTTGTTATTCCTAACAAGCCCCTTTCAGCCACACCGGAGTGGAGTGTATGTTAATGCGATGACTTTCGGAAAGCCCCTAGGAAGGGGGGTGCTGGTTGCCTGGGGAACCAGCCTGGTGATTAAAGCTGGAACTTTCAGCCCTAACCTCCACCTCCAGGGAGGGCAGAGGGGCTGGAGATCGAGTTCACCGCTAAGGGCCACTGATTTAGTCAGTCTTGCCTGTGTAATGAAGCCTCTGTAAAAGACCCCTCATTGGAAGGGTTCACAGAGCCTCCAGGTTGGTGCCGACGAGGAGGTGCTGAGCCGTGGCACACCTGCATAGGGCATGGCCGCGTCCTGTCCCCCATACCTCGTCCTGTGCATCTCTTCATCTGGCTGTTCCTGAGTTGTGTCCTTTTATAATAAGCTGGTAATCTAGCGAGGAAATTGCTTTTCTGAGTTCTGTGAGGCCTTGCAGCAAATTATCGAGCCCGCGGAGGGGATGGTGGCAACCCCCAATTTATAGCCGGTCGGTCAGAAGCACAGGTGGTCCGGGCTTGTGACTGGCATCTGAGGTGGGGGCAGTCCTGTGGGGTCTGATGCCACCTCCGGGTGGATGGTGTCAGAATTGAATTCAGTTGTAGGACGCGCAGCTGGTGTCCGTGGAGGATTGGTCTGTGTGGGAACCCCCCCTCCCTCCTGCTACACTTGGTGTCAAAAGCTTTGCGTGCAGAGAGGAAACAAGGGTTTCCTTTGAGAGAACGGCAGGGCCCCTAGAATCCCAGACACAGGGCCTCACCACCCGCTTGCTGTGTTGGTAATTAACAGAGGACCTAACATTCTTCACAATTTCAGTTCACTCACCTTTAAACTGGGGATTCAGAAAAAAGGGAGATAACACATGAAGTGCCCGGTACAGTATATTCACGTGGCAGAGACACAAAATAAACATCGTCACCCGTATTTCACATTACCTTTCTTGCCCACATTCAAGAATAGATTGTGTTCACTGTGAATAGTGTTTTAATTATATACCCAATGTATAATTACATCTTATGTGATGTATAAATGTTGGTATATTTAATTCCATACTACAAAGAGTTTGATTCTACAAGGTGTTTATTTTTCCTTTTTGCAAATGTCTAGGTGCTTTGCAGAAATGTAAGATAGATCTCAGTGTTTCATTTTATTTGAGAGAGATTGAAACAGGAAATAAAGAACTATGCAAGGTTTTGCTGTATATAATAAAGTGATAAAGACTGGTTATTGGCACCAAGATACGGAAGAAGGAGAGGTAACATGATAGGAGCTTTTATATAGATTATCTCCTTTAATCCTCGAAACAGCCTTATGAGTAGATGTTACAGTTGTCCTCCTCGGATAGGTGACCGATCTGCAGAGAAGTTAAATAACCTGCCCAAGGTTGTAGAGCTGGCAGATGGCAGAACTGGGATTTGAATGCAGGCATTCCAGCATCACAGTGCGTGCTCTTAAGCATTTGGTGTACCACTCCAACAAAGGCCATAATTGTAGGTTGTTTAGAAGATCTCATGGAGGAAGAGGGACCTCAGATGGGCCTTGAAAAATGGGTAAAATTTAGAAAGGTAGAAAGAGGAGTGGCAGTGGGGGCAAAATGGGGGCATCACGTTGCAGTTTCTCTTTTTTTTTTTTTTTTTTTTTTGCGGTACGCGGGCCTCTCACTGCTGTGGCCTCTCCCGTTGCGGAGCACAGGCTCCGGACGCGCAGGCTCAGCGGCCATGACTCACGGGCCCAGCCGCTCCGTGACATGTGGGATCTTCCCGGACCAGGGCACGAACCCGTGTCCCCTGCATCGGCAGGCGGACTCTCAACCACTGCGCCACCAGGGAAGCCCGCAGTTTCTCTCTTGATTGTGCAACTCTCCCTTTAAGGTAGGAGCTTCCTTAGAGGACTTTTTTGTTCTTTTAAAATCTTTGTACCCTGGCATTTATCTCCATGTCTGGAAGACAGGAGGCGCTCAATAAATACGGGTCAAATAAGTGAACGAGCCCAGTCTGAACCCTCAGGGTTGGCTTGGTGGTTAGAGCGGAAGTGCTGGAGCCAGACTGTCTGTGTTCAAGTCCCGACCCTGCCTGACTCCACCTGTGTGGCCACGGGCGGCCCCCTAAGGAGAGACTCTCCATCTACAACATGGGAACGACAGACCCCCACGGACAGAAAATGGCTGCGAGGAGTGAGAGTTAACACGTGGAAAGTACCAGGAACAGGGCCTGGCACCCGATGGGTCCTGTCCAAGTGAGGCTATTATAATCAGTGGTGGCGATGAGTGTTGTGTGCTTCCTCTCAGGGTGTAGACATGGCTTTCTGTTTTCTCTGAAGTAAAGCCTGAGTGGGTGCAAGGTGGGCCCTCCTTAGAGATGACCTGGGTGCTAGAAATATGAGCTTGGAGCTGCGGGGGCCTCTGTCCTCCCTCCACGCGAAGCAAGAGCCCTCAGGCTCCAGAGAGCTGTCTTGCTAGTCCCAGACTGGGGAGGTTTCCTGGCGAGAGACTTCAGTGAGTACTTGAAGGAGGTAAAAAATTAAGAGATCTGGAAAGAGGAAGGACACTCATCGTTATTGTCCTTATTGGCAGTTTGTAAAATTGCCCAGTCATCCAGTACTAAAGTTGTAGATCTTGATTTTCCATTATGTGTGGTTAAATAATACTGATACATAATAAATATTATTAAATAGCCCAGGGAAATTTTCTCTTGAATTTTATGGAACATTAAAGTCTAGTCTTGTAGTACCTTTTCAGTGCACCATTTTCTAAGCCAAAATCTCGTCAGTGACTATTTAATAAGTCAGTTGTGATTATTATTACTAGGTAGTCTTTATCAAAAATATGAAATTAGATATAAATGTTTTGTCTCCCCAGATATTTTATCTCCTCTATTTGGGACACTTGTTTCTTCAGCTCAGGTGAGTTTACAGTTTTTTCTTTGGACGGAAGGGGCAAATAACTCTGTAAGAAAGTGAGCAGTGGGACCTGTGGGCCGGTCCTGTGCAGGGTCCCTGAGATGGCACCTGGAGGCTGGCACCAAACGCCGTGGTTGTGGGATCCATCAGCCTGGAACGTGGATGCACGATCACTGGGGCTTCTGACTCTCGATTGGGCCATAAGGACTGGCCAGGAAGTCACTCTGCAAATTCCAACCTGAGGGACTTGTCTTTGGGACACTAATAATCTCACAGGACTCTGGTGCACCTCCCTGGGAGTGTGGGTAGAGAGGTGAAGGCCATGTCAAGTTTGATTTGATTTAGAGAAGTAAATGAGAAATTTCCAACACACTCCAAAGAGAAGTGAGTAGAAGTTATGGATGTGGGTACGTCTGCATGTTTGATTGACGTGTTTGATTGGCAGCTCTCCTGCCTGACAGAGCTGGTCCCTTTGCGTTGATAAATCACCTTCACGTGCCAGGCTCTCCAGCAAATAGAACAAGGTCTTGTGCCTAAAGAAGGCAAAGCTTTCTGTGTGCTCCATGTTCTGCTTGGCGTCGGGAATCCTGGTCTCCAGATGGAACGTGGGGTGAATTTGTGTGTGTTCTCCTGGCTAGATTGAGTCAGTATGTCCAGGAGGAGGTCCAGGGATTACCCAGGCCTGGGGAGGACCCCCGTGGGTAAGTCTAGTCCAGAACCTGTAATCAAGATGTAATTGTCATAAGCCTAGTGAATGTCCAGTCGCAGATGCCTGTTTACAAAGCTAGCTCATAAGTTAGGCTGAAAGGAAATGTTCTTTTCAAAAGCGCTTTTTATAATCATCTAGGGGAAAAGGGATAAATTTATAAGCCCCATTAATCAGAGGACTCTTAGAAATAATGTAAAAAGACTCAGTTTACAAATACAAATGCTGCCAAAGCATGCAGAGGTAATTTTCTGTTTTCTCAGGCACTCCCGCACTAATTCAGAACCTTTGAATGGTGTATTCCCTTCAAGATGTATTTTAGCTTTGTTTATGAGTATTGTAGCAAATTGTCCATGTTTATACATAATACATGTAGTTCATCATTAGAGTTTCTTTGAACTCAATAACCAAACACTTCTCCTTATAGACTGCTTTTTTGAATTGCCGGTGACTTCTTTTCTTCCCCCCATCCAGTTTAACTACTGCTTTGATGTGGACTGGCTCGTAAAACAGTATCCACCAGAGTTCAGGTGAGTTCCACAGAGTGATGGATGACATCATAACTGTAATGCAGCCTTAAAACACAAGATTTGTGTTTCTCAGGCAGCTGCCGTGCATCTTCTTTGAATATTTCTTTTGGAACTATTGAAATCATAAAAACGTTAAGTTATACTGGGAAAACAGCATTTTTTGATATATTCTAACTAATCGCAAGACTTCCTAATACAGATTTTAGCGTGTCCTTCTGTTCTGTCCAGAAGTAGATTAGGACAAATTTCAACCCAAATAAAAAAATTATAGGTCCAATGTTAATATGAAGGAAAAGGTCACTGCCACCTGCGTTCCCGACCTGTAAGCATGCCATGCTTCACTGGGCACATCAGTGCTGTTCTTTTTTTGAGACTCTCTTGTTTCACAAGTGAATTTTCACGTAGCTTAGGAGTTAATGCAGGGGTCATAGGGCCTTCCCTTACCCAGATTATGGAAGTGATGGGTTTTCAGTCTGTCTGCCTCATATTAGGCAGTGCAAACCAAATAAATATGGCATCCCACGGTGACATGCCATCTGTCCCATTTCTAACACATGGACGTGGCAGAATCCCATAACAGCAGGTAAGGTGGAGGAATACACATGCAGGAGAATGGTTGTCAGGGTCCTCAAAGTCCATGGTGCATTTAGCACGTCAGATTGTGGGAAGCTTCATTATTAATAATAGATAAAATGCTGGGAGCTCCCTGGCAGTCCAGTGGTTAGTACTCGGTGCTTTCATTGCTGTGGCCCAGGTTCAGTCCCTGGTTGGGGAACTAAGATCCTGCAAGCCATGAGGCACAGCCAAAAATAATACTAATAGATAAAATACTGTTGAAATTTCCCAAGCAGCTTTGGCACTCGAGGGCTCATATTTGACCTGTAACACGTAAGATTAGTTTCAGCTGCATGTAACAGAAAAGTAGAAATAACAGTGGCTTAAACAGGAGAGAAAATAATTTCACCAACCTATTCAAAGTATTGGATGATGCCCACCCACATTAGGGAGGGTGATCTGCTTTGTTGAGCCACCGATTCAAATGGTCATCTCCTCCGCAAGCACCCTCACAGACACACCCAGAAATAATGTGTTTTGGGGTTTTTTGGGGTTTTTTTTTTGTTTTTTTTTTTTTGCGGTATGCGGGCCTCTCACTGTTGTGGCCTCTCCCGTTGCGGAGCACAGGCTCCGGACGCGCAGGCTCAGCGGCCATGGCTCACGGCCCAGCCGCTCCACGGCATGTGGGATCTTCCCGGACCGGGGCACGAACCTGTGTCCCCTGCATCGGCAGGTGGACTCCCAACCACTGTGCCACCAGGGAAGCCCCAGAAATAATGTGTTATCTGGACACCCTTGGCCCAATCAAGTTGACACACAAAATTACCCATCACACTGCCTTTTTGTGATAGTTTTTAGAACACCAGTAAATCTGAAGTAATTAATGAGGACTTCAGCTTCTGTCAATAATGTTTAATCTTTTATTTTTTAAAAAGACCTGATAATCTGATAACAGGAATCGTTTCTAGGTAACACATGCATGATTATCTCTTACATTATTCTCTGTACTGTGTTTCTAGTTGTAAAATAGAAAATTTTTTCCAAATAGAAACAAACCGGGAAGGTGTGTTTCTTAGTTTTATTTTACCTGACATGTTAGAATAAAGCTATCAGGCTTAGCGGTTAGGAATCAGTCCTGGATGTGCGTTTTCTGTCCTGTTTTTTTTTGTTTGTTTTGGTTTTTTTTTGCGGTACACGGGCCTCTCACTGTTGCGGCCTCTCCCGTTGCGGAGCACATGCTCTGGACGCGCAGGCTCAGCGGCCATGGCTCACGGGCCCAGCCGCTCCGTGGCACGTGGGATCTTCCTGGACTGGGGCACGAACCCGTGTCCCCTGCATCGGCAAGCGGACTCTCAACCACTGCGCCACCAGGGAAGCCCCTGTCCTGTTTCTTTTTAGTTGAGTGTTGTCCCTTCACGTGTGGCAGAGAATCATTCTGCGTGTGATTGATAATTGTGGAAGTTGTTCATCTTGCTTGATTGCTTGTTGGAGAAAAATCCAATTTTTGTTTTGTTGGGAGAGCTTATAAAGGTATATTGATTTCTAAGGCTTATCTCGCTTTGAATTAACCAGAGTAGATCATGGTTCCTTTAAAAGCCCTTTTAATCTATTCCTGCAGAATGTTTTTATATTGTCCTTTTGAATTTAAAAATAGGGCATTTTCAATGTGCATTGGGCTCTGTTGCATTGAAATATCACCACCTATTAGTGAAACTACATGCTGTGGGCCTGGGCCCCTTCACTTGTGTTCTGGGCATCTGGTGCAGGACCTTGCTCAGTAGGGGTTTAACATATGGCTAGTGAGGAAGTGGTCTATTGTTTGGGCCAAGAGAAGGGAAAGAAAAGAGCATCGTACTAGACAACAATGATTGTATATCTTTTAGTCTATCTGAATTTAAATGTATTAACACAGAGCTGATGATGTGCCCTCTTGGACCAAAGAAGATAATTACTCGAGGACTTTCTTGAGTCACAACCTCTCCAGGTCACAGCAGAGCTTCAGGCTCAGGCCACAGGGCTCCATTATAAAGGTAACCAGTTACCGAAGGTTAGCCGGTCAATGTCCTGTGCTGGCCCCCTACTCAGTCACCACACAGGCCAGAAACAGATGTCGGTGGTCAGTGACCCTTAACTGGGTGCCAGTTCAGCTTCATGAATGATGGATTTTAAATACTCCTGCTCTCTTTTTCAGGAAGAAACCAATCCTGCTCGTGCATGGCGACAAACGCGAAGCAAAAGCTCACCTACATGCCCAGGCAAAGCCTTATGAAAACATTGCCCTCTGCCAGGTAAGCTACTCATTGCCCTTCGAGATCATGCTTAGTCTGAGAGTTGGAAGGAAATTGAGACCTTGAGTCTATCCACCCACCTAATGCAGGAATCCTCTCTCCAGCATCACCAACAGACATCTCTCCAGCCTTGGCTTAAACGCTTCCTGAGGTAGCTCATCCTATTTGCGGGTACCCCTCATGGTTGAAAGATTTTCCTTTATGTTAACCTGATATCTCTGTAATTAGTCAAGGTTCTCCAGAGAAACAGAACCAATAAAGGTGTGTATGTGTGTGTGTGTGTGTGTGTCTGTGTGTGTCTGTGTGTGTGTGTCTGTGTGTGTGTGTCTGTGTCTCTGTGTGTGTGTCTGTGTGTAGACAGAGATTTATTTTCAAAGAACTGGCTCACGTGATTGTGGAGGGTGGCAAGTCCAAAATCTGCAGGGCAGGCTGGAGACCCCAAGAAGCACTGATGTTGCATTTTGAGGCCAAAAACCGACTGGAGACTCATTCCCTCTTCCTGCAGGGAATCAGTCTGTTTTTAATTTCCTTTCCACTTTTCAACAGACTGACTGAGGCTCACAAACATTCTGGAGGGTAATCTCCTTTACTCAAAGTCCACTGATTGAAACGTTAATCTCCTCAAAAAATACCTTCCCGGCAACATCTGGCCAAATATCAGGGTGCTGTGGCCTAGCCAGGTTGACACACACAATCTTCTTCCTCTGCCTTCTACGTTGGTCCTAATTTTCCCGCTCTGGAGCCACATAGACTAAATCTCCTTGCACATGTCAGTGATTCTCATATCTGAAGTCATCTATTTTGTCCCCCTAGTTTTCTCGTTCAGGTTAAAGCGTTCACTTTCTTCAGTTGTACCTGGTATATCAAGGGTTCCCTATCTTCCCCCAACCTGCCAGCCCTCTGGTTGTATCTATTTTGTCCATGTCCCTGTGGAAACGGAGGTTTCAGCATTATTGAGCAGGTTTTTTGGATTCAATTCAGTGGCAGTTTCTTTCTCTGAAGGCAGCTTGAAACTGGTAGTTTTTATTGTGACATTAGCTGCCATTGACATTTCACCCATAGCCCTTAGATCTTTTTCACAAGAATCACTCAATACTGGAGAGACCCATAGATCGATCAGAAGCAGATCTGTTAGAAAACTACCTTGCGAGTTGTATGCTGCGTGTGATCCTAGCCCGATGAGGGGCGTTAAGTGGTCTCAGAACAGGCTTGGTTTGCTGGGACCAAAGCAGAGAAGAGGCGAGAAGGCTGTTTCTTTATATATTCCCATAATTTTGTCCTGATACTTTCCAGTCAGTTCATGGAAATACAGTGTGACCAGTGAGTCCTGGAGTTTCCTTAGGACTCCTTGTTTTAGCCTCCACGTCTGAAAGGATCTTTTCATGTGTGACATTTTGTGTAAGAAGCAGGCACACTGGGCGGGGAGGGGAGGCGAGGGGGTAGCATGGAATTCAGAAAATGTTAACATTTATCATTTCCTTCCTGTGGTGGTTCTGAAGTGGCTGGTGTAATATTCACCTCTTCCTATTTGAGCAAGTTGGTCAGTCCATTCACGAGCAGCTTGATGAATGAGTCTTTCATGGCCCTTTTCTCTCCTGGCCAATAGCTTAGTGAAATTGGCTCAGGATTTCTGCTCTTGGAGTACAGAGGCAAGAGTGAATTACATAGAACCTAATTATTTTTCTTTTCCATTTTCCTTCTAACGTCCTTTTTCCTCCATCCATACAAGGTAAAAGAATTCCAACTCACGTTTTATCACTTCTTCTAGCTATAGAATATTATCTGTGTGTGTATGTGTATATTTTTAAAGACTAAAACAGTGAGAAATCTCAACCTGATCAATTTTAAACCCGTCTCACAGCATTTTTCCTGTGATGTAACTCACTGTACTTTATGTAGTTGGAATTTTTAATTATTCCATCTCTTTATCCATCCTGTTTGCAGCTCACCTTCTACACAGGATATGCCTTTGCTTAGCAGTTGCCTAAAATCCCCTTGTTTTGCATTTGTTTCCAAAAACAGAAGAGGCTAAACTGCAGTAGGATAGCACTTATCAGACTAATAGTGGGCAGAAAATAAAATAACACGGGAATCCTGAAAAACAGCAATAAAATCAATGGAAATACAAAGTGTTTTTCAAATGTACTGAAAGGAGAGGTGGTGGCATGCCTAGTGGCATGCTTCAGGCCAGCCACTAGAGGGCGGAATGAGCCCTGTCTTCCAAACCTTGTGTGAAGAGCCTCCGTAAGCTCCCAGCTCTAGTCTGAGGGACATGGTGATTGCCCCATCCTGACTTATTGAAAAACCTTTATATCTTGTCTTTAAAATGAATTTTTGAATTTTTTTTAGCAACGTAGTGTCACTTGACTAAGCTGGGTCACGTTAAGTCAAAGAATAAGTGGATGCTCACACTTTTCCCATTTTGCACACCTGGTGGTCCAGGTTCAGACTTCCTGGGTTCTGTCCCAGCTCTCTGCCCGCTAGCTGTGTCATTCTGGGCCCATCACTTAACCACTTAAAGCCTCATTTCTTCATCTTTAAAATGAATTACTAATACTGTATCTCATAGGTTATTGGGCAAAGAATTTGGTGCATTTGCCAAAAAGAAGCACCCATTAAATATTATCTGTTGAAATTATTATCATCCTTGCTTTTGTGCTTAGACTTGCCCAAAAGCCCACAACAAATCACAAAACTAAACTCAGAAGCCAAGTATTTTGACCATTGCTTTTTCTGAGCTAAATATCAATTTACAGAGTGGCAGCCTTTGTTCTAATTTTGTAATTTAAAGACGTGAAATACTGGGATTAGCATATACACACTACTATATAAAAAATAGATAACCAACAAGGAACTACTGTATGGCACAGGGAACTATACTCAGTATTTTGTAGTAACCTATAAGGGAAAAGAATCTGAAAAAGAATCGAGATATATACGTATCAATATAACTGAATCACTTTGCTGTACACCTGAAACTAACACAACATTGCGTTAATTTTTTTTTTAAAAGAAAGACATGAAATGCACTTTCCTGCTCACTCTTCTGTGACCAGTCCACACAAACGTGTGCCAGTCTGTGAGCAGCCCGAACACTGAGTTTACAAGAGTAGTGAACTTGGCCATCTGTCTGTGAGCATCCCCAAGACAAGCTATGTCATTCTCACCTGTGTATTCCAGTTGCCCATCGCTGCCCCCAGCAGACAGGCCCACCTGTGGAGAGTGGGCAGGGGGGCGCTTTGATTTTAATAGCACTTGATTCCATTTGTAGAGTGCTTACCCCGTGCAGCTCCTTTTGCTAAGCGTTTTATGTGTACTTCTCTCATTTATTCCTAACAACTCCCTGAATCTCCTAACAGTACCCTCATTTCAAAGAGTAGAAAGATGAGGCATAGAGATTCAAGTGTTTTCCGAGGCATAGAGATTCAAGTATTTTCCAAAGTCCTACATAGTTGTGAAGACAGGATTTGTGTCCATACACAGAATTCCTAGCTGGTAAACTATTCTTGACATCTCTATTTATTTTAACTTTTTCATCTTGAGGCCTAACCAAGGTCTTGCCATACTGGATTTTAGATAAAATGTTTTACTTCCCCACCTACCCCCCCCATTTGTTTGTAAAGATATTTTAAAACATGAAAAATGGATTTAATATATTTATTTTTCAGCATCTTCTGTGTTATAAATGTAAGAAAACTTTTAATATCATAATGTCTCAATACTGCCACCACTTTCAATGTTTCTTTTAAATATGCTTTGAAAACTTTGTGTGTGTATTTCTGTATAAGCCAAATATCTAATTTTAAAACGTTGCATAGAGTCTCGTTTGTTTTTACTAGTTTTCTGGCTTCTAAGGAAATTAGGCTTCTCACTTCTAATTAGTGTAATTAAAATGCAATATGTGTTGAATCATTCTGGGTAATGAAAAAGGAGTTTTTTAAAAAATGAACCTCACTGGATGCTATTCTAAAAGCTGTTTTGAATCTACAAACAATAAATGCTGGAGAGGGTGTAGAGGAAAGGGAACCCTCATACACTGTTGGTGGGAATGTAAATTGATACAGCCACTATGGAGAACAGTATGGAGGTTCCTTAAAAAACTAAAAATAGAGCTACCATACGACCCAGCAATCCCACTACTGGGCATATACCCGGAGAAAACCATAATTCAAAAAGAGTCATGTACCACAATGTTCATTGCGGCTCTATTTACAATAGCCAGGACATGGAAGTAACCTAAGTGTCCATCGACAGATGAATGGATAAAGAAGATGTGGTACATATATACAATGGAATATTACTCAGCCATAAAAAGAAACAAAACTGAGTTATTTGTAGTGAGGTGGATGTACCCAGAGTCTGTTATACAGAGTGAAGTAAGTCAGAAAGAGAAAAACATATCCGTATGCTAACACATATATATGGAATCTAAAAAAAAAAAAGTCATGAAGAACCTAGAGGCAAGATGGGAATAAAGGTGCAGACCTACTAGAGAATGGATTTGAGGACACAGGGAGGGGGAAGGGTAAGCTGGGACAAAGTGAGAGAGTGGCATGGACATATATACACTACCAAATGTAAAGTAGATAGGTAGTGGGAAGCAGCTGCATAGCACAGGGAGATCAGCTCGGTGTTTGGTGACCAGCTAGAAGGGGGGGATAGGGGGGGGGGGAGGGAGGGAGACGCAAGAGGGAAGAGATATGGGGATATATGTATATGTATAACGGATTCACTTTGTTATAAAGCAGAAACTAACACACCACTGTAAAGCAATTATACTCCAATAAAAATGTTAAAAAAAGATTAAAAAATAAAAACTGTTTTGGCGATCAAGGGCTTGTCCACTAGAGGGCAGTAACAACTTTAAAAACAAAAAAAAGTTGACCTGAATCTTTTCTAATTTAATTTTCAATAGATAGGGATATTATTGAGTTTTTAAAAAACAAGTAACTTGACCTCTTTTTTATCCTAGGCAAAGTTGGATATTGCATTTGGAACACACCACACGTAAGCAATTTTTATGAAATGGGGAGGGGAGGATATGAGTTTAATAGATCAAAGGATGCTCTTCAGAAATCGCCCTTAGAGGGACTCACATGTGATGATTTTGCTGGGGGAAAAGCTATCACTTAGGAAGCAGAGGAAAAGGAGTTGTTTCTGAACAGCCTTAAGACCAAGTACCAGGATTCTGGCTCTGGACATGAAAGTCTGAATCTGTGATGCGGTTTCTGCTTTCTCTTGAGGGCGTTCATTATAGCCAACTGAGGGGGATAGATTGTGGTCCGCGGTTACGCATGACTGTACGTGCGGTAGTCACATGCCTATGGATTCCACCACTTTAAAGAGGGTCTTGTGAATTTCATAAGATTCTGAGTTGCGTCAAATAGAATATTGTTGGGTCAACTGTGCTGTGATTGAAAGAAGAACTGTTTTACAAGAAATTGTCATCTTGAGAGGCTGGTACCTGTCCCTGCTTCAAGACATCTCAGAAAATTCTCTTAGGATAATCTCTGAGACATTGCAAACAACAGACAGGAGAAACTTTTCTCTTACTTCCTACTTGATACATATCAGCTTGACTCCCGTTTTATTTGAGTCTTACTGTTTAATGGAGCCATTTTACATAATTGTTCTCTAGCTGAGAAAAGAATAAGACATGGTTGCCTCGATTTCAGTATTTTTGTAAATCATATTTCTCTAGAAATATGTCACACTCAAAAGAGTGACAAAGGGCTTCCCTGGTGGCGCAGTGGCTGGGAGTCCGCCTGCCGAGGCAGGGGACACGGGTTTGTGCCCTGGTCCGGGAAGATCCCACATGCCGCGGAGCGGCTGGGCCCGTGAGCCATGGCCGCTGAGCCTGCGCGTCCGGAGCCTGTGCTCTGCCACGGGAGAGGCCACAGCAGTGAGAGGCCCGCGTACGGCAAAAAAAAAAAAAAAAAAAAGAGTGACAAAGCCTTATCTTTCTTCTAGACCAGCAGTGGAAACAGGTAGCCTGCTGCTTCAGGCATGTCCCTTTGCGTATCTGTCCCTAAGGCAACAAGGAATCTCATGGGTGGAAGTGTTTGCCCCGAGTCTTTCAGTGACCACTGTTTTCCTGACACTACGCCAAAAACGAGGGCATACGTTCATCATTCTCTTTGTAAGCTTTAAGCTATATTCTGCCAGTCTGTCTCCAGAAAGGAACCAGAGCAGAAAGCACTGAGCCACTTTGCGAAAGGATACCTATCAAGCATACATTATCTGGTCTTAGGTGCTCTTGTGTAAATGTTGCTGCATTTACCAATCACCCCCAATTGGTAACTTTAGTGTAATGGAGGGTTGTTGAGAGTGACCTCAAGCACCTACCTAGCTGGAGTATCAGGCACAGAGCTCACAGTATGCTAATTTCAGCAAAGGATACAAAATAGCACTGAATAGGCTGAGTCAGAATCTTAGGCTCCTATAGCTGCACCACCGTGGGAGACGCTGATGGGTGGCAGTAGTAGTCAGCCGTCCTGGGAGAGATTCTGCCAGTAAAGCGTCGCACCAGATGGATCCTTGTCCCCCGCCCTTAGCTGGAACCCTAGCCTAAATACTTTACTGATTCCAGAATACATTGAGCAAGCCCTGTTTTGGATCCTGGGCATGATTTGCTAGACCTGCAATGTGGGGTTCCTGTGCAGGGCACATGTTCTGTGCCTGCAGCCAGCGTTTCTTGGGCACTTTCACACTGCACTTAATATGCTAGCGAGTCATAGGAGAGCCTGGGTCAGGGGAGGGACTGAGTGCTGGGCTGGCCCAGATCTGACACAGTGGCATTTGAGGGGGATGGAGCTATCCTTTTTTTTTTTTAATGCTATTCAAAAAATTACTTGGTCCTTTGTCTTCATTTTATAGACTAGAGGCCCCAAGTAGGTAGGCAGTTTTCCTCCAGCCAGTGTTGGGAGACAGGACTAGAACTGTTTATTTTTGCTTAAGTTCTTAATTTACTTTTGTTGTTTCCTCACTGCTAAAATTAAACCTGTTTCCTTTGGTGCGCGCACACGCGCACACACGCACACGCGCGCGCACTTTGCAAGCCCATTCTTCCTTTGCCTCCAACACATGCATTTTGCAGGTTAAACCCAGCAGAGTTCCTCATTCAGAGTTGAAAGTGCCTAGGGAAGTACTGATAGACCCTTTCCCCACTCTGTAGTATGTGTGTAGTTTACATTTTGTTAAAATGCCAGTATTTTGTAGGAGATTGAACTCATGCCTTGAAATTACTTTCAGTTGTTCATTTTAAAATATTTTAAGAGTTATTCATTAAATATCTATTATATTCTTGAAGCACAGCTCAAGGGAATGTAAAGTGTTTTAAGACGTAGTGGCTTTTGTCCTTCCAGCTTGTAGTCTTTGGGTGAGAGAGGCAAGACAAACACATGAGCTAGGAAAGAAGGAAAGCCTTCCAGCTCCTGGTGACAGGTGTGAACACGTCCCCCGCCTCCCCCAACAGAGCGGAGCTGCCACAGTAACTCTGAAGGAGTCTCTGGGGTCACACTTGCGTCAGCTGGCGGGTGCTGACCACGTACTACTTGCGGCCCCATCCCCCAGGAGCTCATGGTCCTCTTAGAGACAGTGAATGTGCTCCATCCCTGCTTCCAGGATGCTGTGCAGTCCCGGGGCTTATCTCATAGTGCTTTAGAATGTTGAAGCTCTTTGGTGGCCCCCAGAGCTGGAAGCAAAGGCACCTCCCACGGCCCTGAGAATCCACAGGGGGAGGGAAGCGTCAGATCTGGGTGTGCAGCCCGGAGCAGACTGCAGGATGGGTCTCTCTCCTCTTCGGGCTGTAGCAGGGCTCCCCTCCGTGTGACCCACTCCTGCCCCAGTAGCATGAAGTAGCTGCGGCCTGTCCAGCCCAAGGGAAGCCGTGCACAGCAAGAGGAGGATCCAACACGTGTGATCCAAATAAGTGCTGCTTCCGGTTCACGTGGGGAGCTGGGTAGTCCCCATGAGCTCTCCTAGCCACGGATTCTGCAGTTGTAAAATGGGAATGATAGCGCCTCCTCTGGATTGGGTGGCATTCTGTGCGCTAGCATTCTGTGCGGCTTCTAAAGCAGTGCCTGGTACATAAATGCTCCACAGACATTAGCTTGCCTCCCCACTGTGCAGGAACAGCTTCAAATAGGGGAAATGTCCCTTCTGCCACCCCCATAGCTTAATAGATAATACGCAGGTCAGTATTTTTCAGGGAAGACCTCATTTCTTTATATGTTTTATCCATTTTTAACTCTGACCTTATTGGGACATGCCATTTTGTCTATGAAAAGATTAATATGACTCCCCTTAGATTAGTTCTCAATGCTATTTGATAGGATTCACTGACATTAGTGCATGATTTTCCTGTTAATTGATACCTTAACTAATGGAAATATTTGTCAAAGTTAAATCATGAATTCGTAACTGGCTTATTCTTAATTACAGTCAGCTACTAATGTGGCAACTGTGTATGTAAATTTGCCCAGATTTCAGGGAGCACATCTCATACATGGAGAGAAGATTGGCTCAACAGCTGTCATTTCTCTGGCTTTGCATTAATTTACCATTTGCCAGCTTGGGTTAAATTCTCGTTCTGGCAAGAGCTAAATCTCATTCTCTGTATAGTCTTTTCTGTACTTTTTAATGCTAATAACCCCATTCGGTTGAGATAGTATTTGGGATGTTGTTTATTTGAGAGAACCAGTGGTTCATTTTTTTCCCACGTGTAAACTGACTTCCATCAGTAAATGTTAAGTAGCATTTTGGCCTCCATAGAAATAAGGTAGAGTTACTGCCTTGAGTGAATCTCTAGTTGGGGGAGGGAGAATTTAGGTTCCTGAAATAATTAGAAAACCATCGGGAGGCCAAGAACCATCCGAAAGTAGATGGCAAAGTAAAGCAAGGCATGGAAGCAGTAGAGGGAATGTACACCTGGAGTGTTTTACATTTAACAAAACATGTACTGCGTTTCATTCTCACATCAGCCCTATGAAGTGAACACGGGGTTGATCCTTTATGCCACAGTGAGAAGCCGAGGCTCAGGGGACATGGAATGACTCAGAGATATTAAATGACTTACGTAGGGTCCTATGGCTTCTAACTGATGAACACTGGTACTTAGGTCTTCCAGCTTCGGATGGAAAGCTCTTATCTGTCCTGTTTCTTCCCTCTCACTGGAATTAAACTAAGAGAAATAATCTGATGACTGGGGAAGCCCCATGGGAAAGAAGGGAATCTCTAGGGCTGATTTGAGTAAAGGGAGAAGAAAAGGGAAGACTTACCTCAAGCCCAGGTACACGCTGGTGACAAGTCTGGCGTCTATAGAGTATGAAGAAAGATCAGTCTCTTGAAAGTGAAGCATCTTTCAAACTTAAACTGCAACCCACAGTAGGAAATGCGTTTGCCATTTCAGTCTGCTGCACGTGTCTGTACTGATAAGTGCTGAAACCGGAGTTTCACGAACCAACACTTAAATATATGCAATATACTCTTGAGTTTCTAATTTATTCTGTTGCAGTTTTTTTTTAATGCGAGGTAGCCACAGCATAGCAAGAGGTTGTGACCATACTCTGAAAACACTGGACAAGAAGATTCCTGTTGTCCCTGATAGTAATGGGTGATGCTGAATAGATAATAAGGAGCCAGACTACAGTGTGGGGAGGGGTTTAAAGTGCCAGGGCTGGCCACGTGGACGGGATGGAGCAAAAGTTCATTTACCACCGAATACTGAGCATTTTGGAAGGTGGTTTTCCACTTGTCACTTAAGCAGACTTTGATAACAATGATGTATGGAAGAAAAGAAGACTAAATGTTCAAAGTTGGGATAATGTAATAAGAGTTTAAAGGATTCCTTTAGCTATTGCATTTGCATTAGAAAGGTATTGTGAGAGACTGTTAATGCTTTTTGATCCTTTTTCTGTTTTTAAAGGAAAATGATGCTACTGCTATACGAAGAAGGCCTCCGGGTTGTCATACACACCTCCAATCTCATTCACGCCGACTGGCACCAGAAAACACAAGGGTTTGTAGGGTTCCGTTCATTTCTTCGTAGTCACTGTGTGTGCTGAGAAAGGTCAAAAGCGAGAACATTTGATTTATTCTTTTTCTCCTGTTTTTTAATTGTGAAAAAAACCAGAATTATGGCATAGAAAAGAGACACATGCAAAAAAAAGTGATAGTATTCTTTTACTACCTCCCCCCAGTTCCTCCCTTGAGGTAGCCGGTGTTAACCGTTTAACACATAATCATCCATAACTGCCTTTATTATACCTGTAAACATACATATTTATACACCGTAGTTTTTACAAAATGGCATCATACATACACTCTACAGCCAAGTAGATCCAAGGATCTGAGGCAGGAAAGAGGATGAAAAATGAAAGGCCTGAACCTATTATTTTTCCATTAAGACCCTCCTGATAACTTTCTTGGTCCTCACTTATTCCTGCATCCACTTGTACTTGCCACTTCCCAACAGGTATCAAAAGAAAACTTGGGGGTTGATTGTGCACTAAAAATGTCCCCTCACCCCCAGTCAGTTTAGTTTCCCATAAAACAAATCTAAACGGCTGTCCTTTTAGAGCCTGTAACATGGTTGTGAATCTCCAAAAGAATTGAACATGAAGGTTTTTCATGGCTTTATTTTATTTTATTTTTTTAATTACTAACCCTTTGTCCTTGGTGCATATATTCCAGATCTAGGTTTTGATCTCCTAAGAGAAGTTTAGGTTTATTTTTAGGGACTTGTTTAAATCATTTCACCCTTTGTTCTCCTTCCCGATAAGGCTTCATTATGACCAGCCTTAATTTCGCTTTCTTTCACTTAAGCTAGTCTGCATGTCTCTGCTTTCCTGTGTTAGAAGGAACTCACCCTTTCAAGGTTCGAGTATCTTCCCCTGCATCTTCCTCCTCATTCCCTCGCTCATACCATTGCCCAGCCTGGGCTAGAGCCCTATTCTGGGGCTCTGACTGAACCCAAGTTAGACCTTCAGTTGAGCTGAGACAGAGAGCCTCCCAGCCCCCATCCTCTGGGCCTGCTGGACCTGAGTGGGCCGGGCAGCATCACAGCTGCCTCTTCTCTCACACAGCCTTTCCCTGAGCCAGGTGTGTGTCGTCCTCTCTTCACTCCCCTTCCCCACCATAGAAGGTGGCTTGATCCCCTGTCCCCACTGCCTGATGGTTTTCCTACAAACATGTTCTAGTTTCCAAGTGTCCCCACTTAAGATATGCTTCTCAAAATGCAGCGTTGTTCTGACGGGTTCAGGGTCTCGGGGATGGATTGTCTCTAAGAGCCTCAGCCGCGGTGCTTTTTTTTTTTTTTTTAACCTCTTTATTGGAGTATAATTGCTTTACAATGGTGTGTTAGTTTCTGCTTTATAACAAAGTGAATCAGTTATACATATGTTCCCATATCTCTTCCCTCTTGCATCTCCCTCCCTCCCACCCTCCCTATCCCACCCCTCTAGGTGGCCACAAACCAGAGCTGATCTTCCTGTGCTATGCGGCTGCTTCCCACTAGCTATCTGTTTTACGTTTGGTAGTGTATATATGTCCATGCCACTCTCTCACTTTGTCACAGCTTACCCTTCCCCCTCCCCATATCCTCAAGTACATTCTCTAGTAGGTCTGTGTGTTTATTTCCGTCTTACCCCTAGGTTCTTCATGACCTTTTTTTTCCTTAGATTCCATATATATGTGTTAGCATATGGTATTTGTTTTTCTCTTTCTGACTTACTTCACTCTGTATGACAGACTCTAGGTCCATCCACCTCACTGCAAATAACTCAATTTAGTTTCTTTTTATGGCT